TGCCAATAATACTGTAGGGAAAGTAAGTAGTAGAATTACTTTATAGGAAGATATAAATACATGTTTGTGTGTGTTTGTGTACTCACAGATGCACATGCACATGAAAACACAATTGTACATATACAATTGTGTCCTTTCATATAGCTGATCACTATGAAAGTCGACAGTGCTCGTATGATGGTAGCTGTCTTGTGTAGTTGATGAACTGAGTAAACTATTATACTTTAAGGGTGAATTTTTAAAAATGTGTAATCTATGTTTAAATTTTTTAATACACCAGTAACCATAACTCGTGCAAATTTATATATTTAGATAGATATGTGAATACGGTACTGATTGTCTCATGCTATTGTCACAATGATATTCCATGAACCATACCTCATTTCCTTTTATGTGTAGTTTCTTTGCTTTAAAACTTTCAAGATTTCATCAGATCAGCATTTATTTGTTTATTTTTTTATATTAATCCCTCATTGGCAGCAGATTTGATAGATATGTGAGGGCAGTTTACAAAATATGTTTTTTTAAATTTTCATGGGCATGTCTATGTGCCTGGGTGGGAAATAAATCGCCAGAAAATGCGCTTGTGAATTAGCAGTAAAATAATAATAATAACTCGTCCATTTTAAGCACTGATCTATTAAGGCTGGGCACATTACATTACTATTTTTATAAAGGAAAACAAGTTAATCAAATATTCTTGTTTGTTAAAGTGGTTCCGTTCATTATATTCTGCTTTAGAGGTATTAATGAAAAAAAAATATATATATATAATAGGGACCAACAATTTATCTTAGACATTTTCATATACTGTGAATTTCAATTGTATAGGGAAGAATTTGAACAGCAAAATACAATATGTTTGCATGCATTATAACAGCCTGTATGATGAAAACAGAAATTAAGTGTATTTTTTGTAATTTTTATACTCTAGACTATATTAGGCTACTGCTTGTCAGCTGTCTGATGAATATTTTACATAAAAGGTTCAGTTCAGTTAGAGGGAAAAATAGTTTTCAGTTAAGTTAGAGGTAAAATAGCTTTCAGTGAATGCCATGCTTTCATTGTCAAGGAAGGTTTTCTGGTGTCACTAAGTAGTTTAGTGCAGGTATATTCAAACTATATAGCAGGTGTAAAATGGGAAATAAGGAATTAAATTCTTGCTTTAGGTAGAATCCAACAGAAAAATTATTGGTATTGGGTTGTAGCAGTAGTTTCAGGTAGCTAATAAAATGAGTGAAGCTATATAACTTGCATAAATATGTAATATTTCTTTTTTTTGTGATAGATTTAGTAATGGATTATGGGAAAGGACTGTACCGGTTTTACATCACATATATATAAGCTTATATGTATTTTTAATATTCTATAAAAGTCTTTCATAGGATTTTCATAGTATTTTATATTTATCTAGCTGAACCTTGAAGACCATATACTGTAGCTGTAGTTTTTGTAACATAAGTGTTTTGTTTACATAATTTTAATTATTTTTCTCTAACATTGCATATGATATAAGGTATTTTTGCAGTTAATATTTTTGTGATCTGTAATATTTTAATGCTGGTATGATTTACAAAATACTCTTTGCCTTTTATGAGCATTTTATATGCCAAAACAAATACATATTGTTTTAAATGTGTTCTTCTGCATTGTAATAAATATTATCCTACACATTGGATTATTAGCAAACCTTTTATACTGGTATTGGAAGTTCTGTAAAGTTTGGTAGGGGCATACCTAGCTTGTTTTCCGAGAAAGATCAAGATCCTGGATTTAGGTCTTACAAGGAAAACCTGTTCTGTTGATAAAGGCTTGTGGCAAAGAGATTGCTTGTACCATGAGGTAGAACCATGTGCCCCACAAATGGCTACACAATGTCTCCATCCAGGACTGCCAACTCAGGCTATACAGACACTTTGCTGGATTCCCTCAGGTTGGACCAGCCAACCTTTTTGCCTTCTCTGGGGCTTAGGCAAATCAAATGAATCTGTAATAAAAAGGCAGAGTTGGCACATGACCCTGCCTGGTGGTTTGCCAACAAGGACCCTGGGAATGGAATATAGATGAAGCAAATGCACCCCCCCCCCCGACATTAGCCACTCTGATAGTATGATCAATTAATCAATATCCCATAAATATATTTAGTGGATACTCCAGGTTCATTTTCATTCTAGATCTTTATGAGATACAATGCTGCATTGCATGAAAGTGTAAAAGGCTTCCATATAAAAAAAGAAATGGTCAAACTTGTAGTTATACCAAATTATGTTGTATTTAATTACTGTCATTAAAATAATTATATATTTAATTGTATAATTTCTATCCAGATTACATGAAAATTTGGAGAGACTTTCTTAATAAAATACTGTACACAAATTGACCCATTAGCATATATATGAACATTAATAGTGATCTGGATATTATGAAATAATGATGAAATAGTATTTGAAAGAAATATGAATTGAAAATAAAATGTGTTAATGATCATGAAAGTGTTTAGGACTATGCAGATGCAGTTTATGTTTTAAATGACTCATCAATAACTTTGATATCATTACCTGGGTTAACTGTTGGATGGAATTTACCTGATTAAACTTTACCTGTGTTGTTTTTTTATAGACCACAAGCCATGATCACTCTTGGGTACAAAATAAGCAAAGATAGAATATTAACATTTATTTTGTAGGTATACAATAACTACTGTAGCTGCATCTTAGATAATACGGGATACATTAAATATGAGACAGAATTCCTGAGTAGTCATATTTCAAGGGAAAACTCAATTAAATAACTGATCCCCGAGAACTGTGTGCTATATAATAATGTACGAGATACCTCAAGCACAATAATCTATTCATGGTCGTCTGAGGAATTGCGAATATAAGGTAAATTCTTAACCAGTGAAAAATACATGTAAATTTTAGCTGACCTTACTGTATTTGTGGTGTCCCTCTGGTATGCAGCCTGCTACTGACAGTGTTTCATTTGCCCTTATATATTTTGTAGCATGATTTTATAGCAATGTTGGTATATTTTAGTGATGATACTGTATACCCCCTAAAGAAAATTCCAGACCTGAACATTTGGCCGCACATGTTTTTTTTGGTCTGTGCCTAAATGTGACCATTTTCAAAGGCGACCAATAAAGGAAAATGCCCAAGGCGTCTGTACAACTAATATATTTGTACAAGCGCCGTGGGTAAATTCGTGGTTGTAGCGTCATTTGAAGTCTCATATTGGTTGTTACACTCAATATGAAATACTATACTAGTAATCATTATCGCTTTTTATTTACATTTTACTATGATTTCGAAT